TAGGGAGGAAAGAATGGAATTTGTGAGATCGTAGAGGCAAATATAAAAGAAAAACCCGAATTAATTTATTTTTATCCGAATATAGAAGAAAAAGAATAATTAATTTTTCTTTACCCGAAGTCATCAATTAATCATGTAGTTACCTTAATTTAGAGATATGTAATGCATTATTTCTGAATGCCATACGCGTCTCCCGAGATTTATATTGAAAACCTACGATTTGTTTTGTGAATGAATTGAGTACAGTTTTCATTTAATATTCAATGGCGAATCATTTGTAAAAAATCTACACAATTATGGTCCAATTCCTCTTCATAAAAGGTACCTACAAACCAAATTGTCTTTGTCATTAACTTTAATTCCTCTACATTCTGCTGTTTAGTTTGAAGTGTTTACTTTTCCATAATGTTGCTCGTCGGGTTATAGCGGTAGCGCAAAATAACGCCTGGAGTAAGAAACTCAAAATTTGTATTTAGGTTAGGAAAAAACACTTAAAGCTACCCTTATTAAAGCATTTGTGTAACTCGTGGAAGGTGATAAGAACAAGCAACGTAAACACTTTCACGCATCTTTCGACTTTCTGTAGTTGAGGTTATGAGAATAATCGATTGTTCTAAAAAGTGGAATATTAATTGTGGCGTGTGTAAATTGCAAATAAAACGTATTAATTTCTTAATAAAAAGAAGGAAAAGCCGTATCATGTGATGAAAATTAATAAATATCGTCGAAGTAAACTGCAGTTTGACGAAGAAACAGTAAAACCAAGGCAACCCTCGCTCGTCAGCCACCCGCAGGGCGGAGAGCGCTTTTAAGAGCTCGGCGCCGGAAGTACGTCATCGGCGGAGAGTTCCGCCGTAAACCCTGCCTCCGCAGCGCCATCCCTGCCTACGCCGGGAACAAAAGCGGGGCGCCTCCCGTAAAGATCGGTCGGCCGAGATTCTCCCGGGCTGGAGGGGTTGCACTGGGACAGGCACTCACCTCAGATCTCAACATTCTCCTGCTTTTGCTTCGTCCGTCTCCTTCCATCCTCTACTTCTCCTTCAGCTTTTTCTTGTCCTTTGTCTTCAGCTTCTTCTGATTCTTTCACGCAGTTTTTCTTGCTGGCCTAGCTTCAGGTGTCACATTTTCTAAGACTTGAAGAATACTCCTAGTTACGAACTGTGATGTTTCTTTTTAGGTAAGCTGAGTTACGGGCATTTTGTAAACACACATGCATTTCCTTTCTTTAAAGAGCTTATTTTTGTTATATAAGGTCGCATCAACATCTAGGTCATTAGCGACCACTATTGGAATGAACGTTATGGTAACGGTGAAAATGATATATGGTGATGATAGGGCGGACAATAATACGATTGTGCCCGAGACGGGACTCGAATGCGCGATCCATCAGACCGAAATCACAGCCGATTTTGTACAACAAACTTTGAGATAAAAATATGTACCTTAAACTTTTGAAAACCACAAAATTGTTTTCGCGAAAAGCGATTTTCGAAAAAGCGAGTAATTTCAAAAAATGGGAGTACAACCACATTTTTACTGTCTCTTATATATGAAGAAAATTTAAAGCAAAAATTTGGAGCTGTTTTTCCGAAAAAATTAAATTTGCCTTACATTTGGGGCAAATTTACACGCAAATTCTCGTATTTTCAAAAAGTTGAACATGGTCTTATTCCTGAAGGGCTACTTGTGAAGTACCTCAAAATTAAAATCTTTTTTCAAATTTTAGAGGCCGCGACATCAAACAGAACGATAGAGAAATATCAATTTTTCATAAACTGGGTTAAATGACTTATGCGCTAGCGTTGTGCGAAGATTTTTCAATATTAAGGTAGCACAAACCGTAGATTCTGACTGCCCCACGTGTTAGAGGAATTTTGTCTATATTTATCAACTGAATTTAGCCACTTTTATGTTACCTAGGCTCTTCACTAAGTGTGTTTATGTCGAGAATTACCCCTTTTTTGGTGCACGATTACACTGCTTTCTCTTCTTAGGTTAGTAAATGCAAAAAAGGGAAACCAATGAGATATCGAGGTTAGGAAGAGAAAGGGACACACCATTCGAATTTTGTAGAATGTTCTTTTACAAAGTTAAAACACCCGGACTGGATAGCCGAAGTCGCCAAGATCGAAGTTCCCTAATTAGCTCATGCCTGAAGGGTTGTAGGATCAAATCCCAGGCGGGACATTGTATTTTATGAGAGTCCGTATGAGAGCATGCAAATACCGCCATCGCCACCTCTTTAAGTTGCAAAACCAATGTTAATTACAGTGGTCGCTGTATGACCTTAGTAGTTGAAAAGCGACTAAATAAGATTTAAAAAATACCTATTGCGAATACGGCGCAATCACGTGGCGGTTGGAGAGCCCGAGAAATAGGAGAGAGAGAAATATTTAAAATTCAGAAGAGAGAGAAGATGCAGATGGTAAAAAGAGAATAGATTCAGGCTTCACGGGGAATGGATTCAGACTTCATGGAGAGCAGATTGAGACTTCAAATAGAATAGAATGATATTTCGGGGAGAACAGATTTTGACTTCAGAGAGGAAGTTTTTGGGGAACGTGGAGAGAGGAGATATTGACGGAAATTTATGGTGCTAACAACTGCAGTTACGTGCAATCACGTCTCACAATCAATGTCACTTACTGCATACAATCTCCGGAAGTGTGTAAGAGGAACTAAAAATACATGTAAGCCTAAAACACGTTTTAGACTTTGGCCATCAACATTGGATTTACGGTTCGTGTCTGGCCGCTGTTGACTTACCTGGACTGGAATCTCTAGAAGTAACAGTATTTTTAATATAGAAACCCAACTAAAAATCTGTTTCGGTCCTTCTGTACGATGTTCTATTATCTTATACCAGAAGAATAAATTAAAAAAGAACTTACAAATTCCTTGAATTGAACTTGCAGACAATGCTGAAGGTAGAGAAATTATTATATTAAACAGATTATTTAATAGCGTAGTTGAAGTTGAAATTAGAAGCGAAATAAATATCCCTATTCAGCATAAAAACTGCCAGAAAATAAATCATGCTAAGTCAAATTGTAAGTTCGAACGAATGTGTTTGAGAGGTAGATAATCATCACAACAAAAAGTATAATAAAACAAACAGTCAATCTCCTAAATTTTCGTAATCTCACCGAAACCATACAGTAAATAATAGAGAATGCGTTTCTTTAAAACCCAAAAATACTAACACTCATGTTTCGCCAAATTTATCTTCAGCAGATGTGCCTATTCAATCTAATTCTCAAATTCTCTAATCCTAAATCATATCTTCAAAATACATGTTTCACAAGTATTTCTCCAAACATAAATAGTACAAGAAATTTTCCAACACTACCAACTGTAACATTGGAATTAGTGTGTTCATGAATAGCAACACAATTCCATCAACTCAGCCAACTCATAACAATTCCTTAATTCCAATTATAACATCTTAAATAATAAACATATTATTTCTAAAATACCCAAATTAATCCCACAAATATTACCAACAATGTTAAAAACGGACAACAATTTTAAAATTATTGAAATTAATATCCTTTTATAAATAAAAATTAACATAAAAACATCATCCATTTCTAAATACGAATATACCGCCTCTCTCTTACATATGTCTGCCAAATATAGGGGAGTTACAGCTCCTACGAATTAAAAAATACAAGTTATCCAAAATAACTCCTTATTTCATGCATATCGATCAAATTTTTATTCGATATTTTATAAAACCACAGAATTAAAGCATAGAAGAACAGAATGATCGAAAGTTTTCGAAAGTTTAAATCAACTTTGCGAATTGAATTTTAATTTTTTTGCTGAGCAAACAATACTTTGTGAAAAACTATTTCTCGGATATAAATACCTCACGAAGAGTGCGCATAAAGAGGAATACCTCAATGCGACAGCTCATCAGCTTGCAGCATTACGCGTTTATTGCACTTGTTAAGATTCTGTGAGGTGGCATTGGAAGAAGAAAGAGCTCGAAGTTACCTAGACCTGCAGGCACTGCTTCAGTGTGCTTAAAATATGGTTTTCAACTTGTGGAAAGTTAAATAGGCAAAGAAAAGAGCACGAAGTGCGGAACAGTTCATTTGTCGACCCAAGAATATCCTTGAAACTGCAACTCACCATCAAAAGGAAGTAATTTAGTCGATAATTGTACGCCTCGTTGGAAACTTTGGCAAAGACAGACGCACTTTGCATTAAACACTCATTATGACTTACTACTTTTATTAAAGCCTTTCTACTGAAACTACAAAGTGTAGTTTACGTGAAATGCAGAAATGAATATCTTACATAATTTATTTAATGAGAGTTAAATCACATTTAGAATATGTTTTAAAATCCGCTATCAAGGAACAAAATAAATATTATTCAACAGTAATGCAATTCTTCTGTATGATTACTAAATACAATCTTTTAAAGTCACAAAAGCGACAGAAACACGAAATAATAATTTATCCCTATTTTGATATCAAAAGTATATAAAGTAATGTGACATATTACTTCGAAAAAAGGTAAAATTATGTAATCGTGCGCTGGAATATGACAGAAAAACTCTTTTTTCAGGGCGCTGGTTACGAGAAGGTGAATAAATCCTGTTTCTATGTAAGTAAATTAATTTCGCCAACATGTGGTGTAGCCAGCATTCAGGTTCTGTGGGTTCTTGATTTCGAAATTCGATTGCCGGCAAAACGTCTGCGTCCGTCTGTCTGAGGTCAACGCTAGCGCGGGGAGGAATATGTAATAGAAGGGGAATCCTCACTGTTCGAGAGTATGGACCAGAGGATTTGCCAGGGTCGTCTCAATGTGGTGACATCTATTTTAAGGTACATGCGTAATTTCAATTGCCATTTCCGTAATTTGCTCGTTAGGTAGCGGTGCGTGCTTGCGAAACTTCTATTAATTTCATCCTCGAATTTCATTTCTTCTCGGTGGCGAGGGAGTTTCACTCGGAAACGTGTTTGTTTGTGTTATTTGGTTTGCGAACAATGTTTGGCGGTGTACTTCGTTATATCAAGTGTTGCAGCTCACGATGGCGAGATGTTGGGCTCCAGAATGCGCCAACGCTGTTTGACAAAAAGAAATATAGTTTCTTCAGGTTTAAACTGAGCCGGGGAGGTGAGTGAAATATTTTGAGTTATGATTATACGTTATTGTAGTTGAATTGGAAATAAATTACTGCGTGTTGTATTTGGTTGTTTTATAAAATTTTTAACATAATAATTGCATTTGTCTCAAACAGCCCAATTGAAACAACTAACCATTGTTATTAAGTGTACTTGGTTCAGTTTGTTACCTGAATCATTTCTATCAAGTATTGTGCCATCTCGTGTATCGTAGTACGTTTCAGACAACTTAAGAACTTAATGTCGTTGAACTACAAATGAAAAGCGCGTAATCTAACATCCGTAATATACAATGCATGACAAAGTTGTGTGTGTCATTTCTGCATTAGATTTTTCAAGTATGTTTTTATTCCAGGTGTAAAAGTGGCTCGGGTTACATGTGACTTCAAGTATAGAGTCCAATCTGCTGGAGAAGAAGAGATTTGCATTGCATGATAATGTCCTTCAGCGAGTCATTTTTTAGGAATACCACGATTCCGAAATAAATAGACAAAACAATGTTTGTACTCTAAGCCCAATAAATGGATTTTTATTTTATACAAAAATTATTATATTTCCACAAAAAATATTACTCTTTGTAGTCCTTATTGAATTTAAGCTTTCAAACCAAGAAAAAATAACATGTGTCGTAAACAAACAAATAATTTTCGATTTAGGATATGGCTTTTTCACACTAATCTGCACCTCTGGAATAGGATAAAGAACCATGAGGTCCGAATGAATATGTTAGGTCTGAATATATTATTATAGTAACTAATGAACAAGGATTATAAAAAAATGCTAATATGCGAGTAGATTACATTTTCCTGGCACGTAAATGGTCATGAGTTGTGTGTTTTATTCTATAGCTCAATTGATAAAGATGTCTAAATAAAGGAAGGTCCTGAGCTCAAATGGAGGGATTAAATATTTGCACTTTGTGACTACCCATTTTGAGTATTACTGAGATGTTTTAGTAGTTTCATAGTAGTCACAAAAATTGTTCCTAAAGACAAACTACATCTGATACAACATGCAAGTAAATTAATTATGTTGATATAAAATAATTTATTTCAATTATACCATACATAAAATGGATTTTTTTGTGTTAGCACTTGAAAATTTGTTGAAGAAACAATTATATTAGTATTATCGCAGATATGTTGATTTTTAGCCAAGCCTTTTTACAGAGAACTGTAATGTCTACAACACAAGATTATTCTCATGTACTTGCATCGTATTGCTCTATAATCATGTACGATTGTTCTCAGAATACATTTTATGAATACTATACAGAAAGAGTTTTTATGGTTGTCAATTATTCTTCCCTCCCCAAATTATTTTGTTACAGGCACACGAATAGCGGAGTAGTACGTGAAATACTGAGGTTAGTATGTACATTGGATATCCAAAAACTACATTCAGTACCGTGGCCCTGAGCCAGCTGCTTCAACGATCAAGGTGTATTCATTCTAGCCACAGAGTGCAGTGAAGTCGATTTTCGCGTGTACTTTATTGTAAATGGCATCACTTTCATCTCCTATTCGGTTTTCCTTCATGATTAGCGCCTAAATTGTTCATCCGATTTTCTTCAAAATTGAAATTCTCCGATCGATCTGAAGAAACTCAACACTTCGGAATTTCCAACGGATATTTTGATTTTGTACTTTTTAAAAAACCTCAAAACCATTTTCAAAATTTTCTCAACAATGGAACCAAATATATTGATAAAACTTTTGTTTTTGGATAGTGTAAAAGGCGCTTAAGAGAACGGTGCAAACTTCACCTCCGTCAAAATCCCAAATTTTTAGAAAATTGCGAAAGTGCAATTTTTAGGCGTCTTTTTTCAAACTGTAATATTATATATAAAGATGTTTCCTCAATGAAATCTGTCCTTCAATAACAGATCTTGAAATAAGGTCATGATCAATTTTTTGAAAATATGAGTAGTTTTCGTGTAAGTTTGCGCAAAATCTAGGCAATTTTACTTTTTAACATTTTTTCTCAAAAACCATTTTAAACTTTTTTTAAAATTTCTCTTCATAATTATCAAAGGAGAGTAAAACACATAGCGCGAGTTCTATTTTCGCCAAACTCCCCGTTTTTCGAAAATCGCAGAAAGTTCACCTTTCAATACTACAAAATTGAAAAAGAGATTTTTGCCTTTGGCAAAGTTGGTTGTAAGAAATCGTCATTAAAAAAGGTAATGCGCATTTTTTTGAAAAACTAGATGATTTTATTTTATTTTACATCAAAAAGAGTTAAAAAGTGTGTGGCGTGCTCCGGGGATACGTTTTCCTAATTCTGTGATGCGTACCCTAAGCCGTGTATTAGTTGAATTTCGAAAACGGAAAGAAATGAGCGTTTTTTGTAAGGATTGGTACTTCTTTTTTATAATCTAAAAGTCTTGGAGATACAAAATGTATTTTCCCAGAATATTAGGCCGTATCTCACGTGCGAATGAACATTCGTGAAGTGTACACAAACAGTACGAAGGCTGAGTGAATTTGAATGAATTCTGAACGCGTAGCATAAAGATGTGTTCAATTAATTTAAATGGACGTTCCATTTGAGGTTTGACTGAATTGAGACCTCAGAATTACATTTTCTTGATTCAGAGATCATCAAAATCTGTCTTATGGCGCACCGATTATTTTCAATGGAGCACAGAACAGTTTATTTGAAATGGAAAACTTCATTTAAATTGTTTTATTTTTATTTGCTTTACCACGGAAAAAAATTGAAAATCTGATAATGTACTATTTACTGTTCTTTATTGCGAAGAATATTCGTATCATCCACAAAGGTAACTGTTCTTCCAGTTCAAACCGTCGAGGGCCTATCGTTTACGTATTGTAGGAAGAGAATAGGACCTAAAATAGATCCCTGCGGGAAAAGGTGTATACATAATATTCCATCATTCCAGTAAGGTATATCTACTCTCTGAGATCGTTGTTTAAAGTAAGAACATAACAAAGTAGAGCAATACCACGTATTCCATATGAAGGTAATTTTGAAAGTAAATTGTTCCGATCAATGCTGTCTAAAGCTTTTCCAAAATGTGCTATTCCAATAGGTTCCTCGTTTTGGTCCAATGATGAGAACATCTTTAAGAAAAGAAAATAAAGCTGTTTTCAAAGATTCTAATTTTCTTTTTTTAAATAGCGGCTTTGAGCCGAAGCTGTTTTGAAAATATCTGAAAAAGTTCTGGTACATAAGGTGCAGTAAATATGTGGGTTAACGGGTGCATAATGGCAAGCGCACAAATCTTTAACAAACAATTCGGAAACTCATCTAAACCGGCCGAATATTAATTTTTTACCAATTATTTTGATAATTTCATAAGAAGCTTCGGAAACGAACGTCCAATTTTTTTGGGAAAGTGTCTGATGTTGAATATTGTAACTTAAAAACCCTTCGTGAGATTGGTAGCAAGTCTCAAAAAATATTATTTAAAGAGATGTATCACTGTTACCGAATCATTCGCCTTATCGTTATGCTTCAAAACAACTTTCTTTTTCATGGTTTCTAGTTGATTTGGTCGTATTTTTAACTATATTCCACATTTCTTTTGTTTTGTTGTACGAGTTCAAAATATTCTGATCGTGTGTCATTATTTTAACCTACATTATGACTTTTCTTTAAAATCATTGGTATTTTTTAAAGTTGAGGGAAAAATCTTGAGATTGTACGTTATGATACTTAGAAGTGAAAGAAAAATTATTTTGTTTTTGCATGAAGTCCTAGTCCCTTGTGTTATCCAATAATTTCTTTTCCGTGAAATTTTTAATTTTTCTATTTCGAACAGGAGATCAAGTGTTAAAATGAAATGAAAGCGTTGAAAAAAATACATTAATCGTTTTTATCAACAGCATTATAAACTACGTTCCATGACTCCTGCAGCAAATATTCAATGGTTAATTTTATTTTACTTTTAGAAAACTACTCATATGTGTGTTATTTTTGTGTATTAGTTCGCATTTTTTTGTAATAGTAAGAATTAGTGCATCAAGGTCACTGTATCCTAATTCAAAAACATTGTCAACGGAGTACACATTTATTTTCGTCAAGAGGTAGAATCTATATTACTTCTAACGTAAATACAGAAACTCCCATATGCAGGACCTTTATGCGATTCCCTTTCTCTACAAGAATAGCCTACGGGATAAAAGTTTGGAATTTGAAAGATGGTAAGTTCATTAGGAAATAACCAATGTTCTGTAATTTCGTGTATTTTGTGTCTGAAGTTTATGAAATTTTAATGTTTTTTTTGCTCAAAAACCCCTTCAAAGTTTTCTTACGTTTTCCACAGATAGAAAAAGAGACGTTTAAAAAAAATGACTTGTGATTCATTTTCATTGAATTCCCTGAAATTTATAAAAATGGAAATTTAGAAATAATGCACGAGTATGTTTTGTTGTAGCACCATTAGTTAACTTCGTGGGATGTTTATGTAATTCAGTGACATTAGAAGTTGAATATTCAGTGACAATATATCATATTTTGAATTAACAACTTTAACATAATATTGTTTTGGGAAGAAGCTTTGCTAGGACACTCACGCCAACCATATAAAAATGATAATTTTTTGAAATTTCTCTACACAAATAAGGAATGTGAAAAGAATCGAAATATTGAGTTATTTAAGAAACATATTATTTTAAAATAACCACTTGCAATCTAAAAATAAAGAAACGCCAGGTAACTGATGAGTACTGTTTCATTGTCAAAATTGAATGCTTTCACTTAGTATGTTCCATTTTCTTAGATGAATCTACTTTTTAAGAGATATTTCTAGCTTAGTTTGGCTCCACCGAAACAGCAAACAGACGTTACATTTCTTTCCCACACCGCGCGCAGAAGCAACGTCACACGACAAACTATCAAAAGCCGTCTCGAATTCTGGTCGACATTTGCGACTACGAATCTCTCGACGATCAGCACTTGCTGTCGATCGGAACAAAAAGAGCGAACGTCCGACAAATCGGAAGGCGGAGCTATAGACGGGCGCGACGGCGGGCGCGCACACAATGAGGCGGAGGGCCTGAGGGGCGGAAGGCGAGATCGGGGGCAGAGGCAGAGATGGCGGGGAGGGGGCGAGGGGGATTGGGAGATGGAGATGGGGACAGAGACGGAAAAGGCAGGGCGGGAGGCGCCTGGCGGCTGATGGAAGTGACGACGACTGTGGGAGACGGGTAACGGTGAAGAACCGAGATAACAAACCGTTCGGCGGAGGATGAAACGCGAAAGCGTCTGCGAATCAAGATTCAGGGACTGTGACTGAGATGGCTAGACGAATGACACATGTGGTGGCAGGAAGTTTGGAGCAGTGCACGGAGCGGAGATGGAGCGCAAACGGTGCGCGAAGGATGGCGGCTAAAGACAGGCGGGAGCGGCGGCAACGCGGGGATGGCGGCACGGGGATGGCGGCAACGGGATGGCGGAAGGGGATGGCGCAACGGGGATAGGCGGCAACGGGGATGCG